TCTTACCATGACGTGTCGTACATGCAAAAGTGAAAATCATATGGTCATCCTTCTTTCGCCGCGACACACTCCTCGCAAACCACAAACTTCACCGCTGGCTACAGAGACTTTACTGTGACTTTACTGCCTAGGCTATTTTGGACTTTTCAATCTTCTAAATAATGGAACATTTGACGACAGGTCGGATGCCATGGATAATTAGTGTCCTGAAATGGCAAAGAAATGCAATTGCAGTCGATGCATTGTTAATCGATGATGATGTACCAAACAAATCTTAACGTTCTGTCGCCGTCGTTCTCTACAACAGAATGAAGCCTGACACTTTTCAAAGTTATAATCTGACTTTTTGAAAATTATAAAAAAAAATACTAGCCAGAACAAATTCAGGGGGCTGCTTATTCATATAGCTGCAGTTGTTTCAAAAACTCTTAGGCTTCGTTTGAAGGAGCTTCATTATTCGGTGAAATTTCTTTGAAAGTCGAGTTCACCTGATAAAAAGGGCCAGTTATCATCTAAAATGTTGAAAAAATTAATTTTTGAGAAATAACTTCAGTAAAAGTTTGGGAGAGGAAGATTTAACAAACGAAAGCTTTTCACACATCTATATTCACTGAAATGAAAAAAAACTTCAAGTACTTCTCAAACGATGCTTTGGCGGGCTTCCCAATTATATTGACGGGCTCTCGTAGCAAAAGCCCACTAGTGGATTACCCGACTGCGGCCAGTTAGTGTTCCGTCAATAATTTCTTCTACATAGGCTCGAAAGAGGCCTACTAAGGCCCGGCCCATTCAGCTTCGCAGTTCCTTCAAGTCATTTTTTCACCTGCTTCCTGCACAAGCTGTTTGATGTAATGATTGTTGGAATACCAAGCTAAGCAGCCTACAATGCTTTAATACATAAAAAATTTTAAATTTTAAATTTATAATTGAACAAATTTGAATATCGAATTATTTATTTATGCACATAATTATGATTATTTGATTTTCAATAAAATACTCCTTATGTATCTATTCATCATTTTAAAATATTATACAAACAATTTTTTTAAAAAGTCACAATATTTTTTTAAATGTAAATTTATTTTTAAAATATTATACAAATAGAAATAAATATTTAAATATTAAATTTATTTTTAAAATATCATAAAAATTTTGACATCATTTTTAATTAAGATTTAATAAGAAGGAAATTCACATACATATCACACAATTTTTATGTATTTGCATTTCTAACACCTAAAGCATGATATTTATAAGTTGCTTTTCACTTTTTAAATTACAATAATGATAATATTTTTTATATAATATTAAAAATTTGAGTGTTATGCTTGTAAATATAAGAATTTAAGTGTTAGATATGTAAATAGATAAGAATTTTTTTTTTCTTTTTGAAAAGTAGAAAATTGTTATCATATTATTAAGTGGCATTTACATGCATACCAATTAATTCTTTTCCTGATCGAGGGTGATAATATAATTTTTTTAAAAGTAGAGGGAGCATCTAACATTTTTGCTATCTTATATATATAATATTTTGGAATAGCGAGGGCCTTTCTGAATTAGCTATTTAATTTGACAAGACATGTCCAATCAAATGTGGGCACGTGCCCTGTCATTTTATTTTAAATTCACCCGTGATTTGTGCGCTCGTGTATTTAAATTAAGATGATTTTAGATAAAAAATATTATTTTTTAATTGTTTTATTTTGATATATTTTTTTAATTGTGCTCCAAGAGGTTTAATGAAAATTTAAGAGGGATTTGCGTATATATACCATCAAGTTCACAATGAATCAATGAGTTCGGCTAATTTACATCGAGTTCATAACCTCCAAGAGTGATTTGGGTGAAACGGCTCGAGCCAACTAGCCGCACCCATATTGGAGAAATATTGTGTCTGGAGCTTTGCGTCCGAACTCCTGACACAATGTTTTTTCCTCATCTAGAGCCACTTATATGATTACTCTAGAAATTTCCAACACATAAAGAGTCAACCAACAATTTAATACGGGTTCTCCCCATATATACAATGTCATGATATAAATTGAAGGTAATTAAAGCAATATATTCCATGCATCTTTGTTTGATGGTACACCCTCATTAGTCCTTATTTGGCAAATTGCGTATTTAACTTTATTGTGATTTTTTTTTTAAGAGCCTCGCTTCTATTTGGTCTATAAATATGGAGACCAAAGATAAACTGAGAGCACAACATATTGTTTTGAAATCACAAATTAGTTTTCTCATGCTATCCTCTTCTCCCATCTCTTCTAATAATCAAAATTGTCAGTATGATGATCTAAGTATATCCCTGGGATAAATTTGAATTAAACACGAATATGATTGACCTTAATCAGCCTAGGATTCGAGTCACGATTACATCAGAGAAGCATCTTAAGGTTCAATTAAGGAAAATTGGGTTGCAATGACAAGCGAGAATGAGGGCAAAGTGGTGTTGATGGACTAAAAAGTTGGAAAGACCCCAACAACCGAAAAACAAATGTATAACATTTGTCGTGACTTCTCGTGCCATCTCTTATCCAACCTAAAGTAATCATTAAAGATTTTGGAGCTATCAACTACTCTAATCTTGCCGAACAATAGACGTCGTTGTTTACAATACATTAGAAAAAAAAAAAATACTAGAAGTGATATATTTTTATGTTATTCAAAACATGAAAATGGTATATTGGTAAATAATAAATTGATAAAAAATTTGTGGTGTGCACGTTTATAGAATATTGAATGAACAAAAATTGCTCGATCATTCAATGTCAATTAATAAATATTTTGATATTGGGAGTTTGTTTTGCAATATTTACATTTTTTAAGAATGTAAATGGAAATCTCTGCCCAAGGCATCCGATCCCATCCCCGGCTTTATCCTCCTATATTTTCACCTCCTGTTTTCATCGAACTGTTACAGAATCTAAAACCTGGTTTAGGGTTGCTTGCGTTTACGATCTCTGCATTTTCCTTCATTTCCGACGATGGCCGGCCATGCCAATGCTGATCAGCACCACCGCCTCTCCGTTGACACTCCTACGCCGCCGATCTCCAAAGGTTTCTACTTTCTCTGCCGTCCATATCAAGATTCTTCTTTTATAACTGGCAAGAGCATCAGCAAAACCTAATCTATGCATCCGGTTCCGTTGATTTGTAGTTTGAGTTCTGCTTCCGGCTTAATGGTTTTCTGATCTCTTTTTGCTAATCGATTATGTTTTTAGGGTTTACCGTCATGTCATGCGTTGTTTGAGTTGCTTGCCTTTATTGATCCAGAAAGTTTTAGCTTCTTGATTCTCTTGTTAAAGCATATCGATCTTCTGTTTAGGTATGCCTTGTAGTTCTTGCTCGCCATGGGGTTGTTTTCGACCCCGGACGGCCTGAGGTGTTTGTTTCATAAGGGGTTTATGTTATGATTTTAGTGTGAAGAGCCGTGTTTAGAAATAATAAAGTATTGATGTTTTTTTTTCTCTTTTTTTTTTGGTAAGGAATTATCTCTTCAACTTGAATATTATGGATAGAGTAACATGCTTCATAATCTTCATCAAATTGGATTAGATACTATAGACTCTTTGAATGGCTAACTTTCATGACGCAGCAGAACGAATAAAAAATTGTTACGAGTAGCAATTGCAGAAATGTTGGTGCATGATTCACATGTCTTTTGGTTTTGCAGGCATCTGAGCACGGTTTTGTTTTTTTGTGGACTTTTAACCTTGTTAATGTATTTTTCTGCAAATTTCCTGGCTGCTATTCAAAATTTGTTGTTGTAAGATACTCATGGGGTTTTCGAGTTTCCAAGTCACTATTTTTTACATTGCGAAAGAAACTAAGATCATCACTTAATTAGATGAAAATGTATAAAAAGACCCCTTTTTTCTTTTGACGAAGAGGAATAACAGACAAACAAATATAATTATCATCAAAAGGAGGAACTTTAATTTATTTTTTTCCCAACTTCTTTTGATAACAGAATTGACTCACACATTATTTGATGATTTATGTTATCTGGATTGAGTTTTAAAGAAAATGCTTTCATCTTAAAAAAGGCGCTTTAATCTTCATTTTAAAATAGCACGACCAGTTACCATGGTTTCATGCTCATTGGCTGCATTGAGCAAAGGCTTTCATTTGCCAAACAGTTATCCTTCAATAGCATGCAGATCATGAGCTATTATGCTGTCACAAATTCCTAGATGGGTTATTATAATTGACTTAGCTTTCAGCTAAGATAAATTTCTTTAGAAAAATTAAAAAGTTTATCATTATTTTATCAAAATGGAGATCTATAAAGTTTTTTTTTTTCCCAAATTTTTGCTGTAGATAATTTGATGTGTTGTGTTATGTGGTTTGATAGGGGAAGTGTTTGTACTTGCATATGCTTGTAATTCTTATCGAAAATGCTATTTAATAACTCTTATGTTATCTTACTTACATCCAAAAGATTAATTTAAAATTTTATGAAAAATGTTGTTTTAAAATGAGCTCTAGAGAAATATTTTCTTAAACTTATTTTATTTAATTTTACCATCTTCTTTTAATTCAGGGGGGGCTGTTCTAATCATCAAAAACAAATATGTCCAGTCTTTAATTAAAACACCTCTCAAAAGGTTCACCCAGTTCATAGAGCTTCCATCTTGATTAATAAAGTATGTTTTATCACTCCGCTTTCTTACAAAGCTTAGACTGGGTTTCTTGCTCCTATAAGCATCTTGCTGGACCAAACCAGTTTTGAATTTGTTTAGGTTTCAGTTTGACATATCATATTTTAATCTCGGATACTAAAGTGTTAATGATGTTTAGAAAATATCAGTGTGGTCATTATTGCACTTTAGGTTGCTTTAGTACTATTATTTTCTTAAGTGTTATTATTTTGGGAAATTTGCACACATACCGCATAATTGTTATGTTCTTACATATCTAACACCTGAAGTTTGATATTTACATTTGTGTCGCTTCGTTTTTTATGAACCTATGCATGAAAATGATGTATTTCAATCTTAAAAAGTTAGTAATTGTGGTATTTTATATGAAATGTTAAAGATTTGAGTGGTATGTGTGTAAATATCAAAGTTTGGGTATTAGTTATGTAAATATATAAGAATTTTGTGGTATGTATGTAAATTCCTCAATTATTTTTGCTCAAACTATGAAAGAGCTTCTGTTTAGCTTGTAAATCTATAGCCAATTCTGCATTGCTTTGAAAAATGGCTCAAGTACTTCTGATACGTGAAGACAAATGGGAAAATAGGGACAATGCAAATTCTACATTTCGTCTTTTTACATTTCTCTTTAGAACTGCTCCATTATAGGGACATTAGGCTGTTAAATTTTCCCTTAACATTTTATTTTGCTGGGTTAAGCGTTTTTAATGACGCCCCACCTGGTTTTCTTTTTAATTATTTTGATATTTTGAAAGTTGAGCCAAATATTCCATCATTGATTTCATGAATTACATCATTGTTTACTCCATTTTGTTTTACCGGTTTAAGTTTCCCTAATTACATTGTAACTTGATTTCTTCTTTTACATATAATAGCAAAAAATTGCATCAATGACTTTATGGATTGCATCATTATTTACTCTATAACTGTGGCTAATCAGTGCAATGCTAATTAACAATTGTGAATTGCATCATTGTTTACTCTATAACTGCTGCTAATTAGTGTATTGGTAATTATCCAACGTGGCACTTTTTCTTGAGTGATCAGTCACCATTGTCACAATCATACATTTTATGATGAAGGTTTTGTGAATCTTTGTTAGAATTGAAGGTTTGAATGATTTTATCAACTTATAACCAATTTAACTTTGACTTGCCTTTTTCCTGTTTATGTTTCACACATTTAATAACTCATAAACTGATCAATCCTTCGGACCCTCTAGATTACACCAACCTAAGTTAGACTTTTTATGTAATGGTTTTAAAAAATAGCTATTGCAGTACAGCATATTTGATAGGTTGACTATGTTTAGTATAGGTCTAGTTGACTTGACCAAGCTCAAACTATAACAGTGCACATAACTTGATCTGCTTTAAGGGCCAGTTCTGATATGAAAATGACCTAATTTAAGCAATCAGTTGGTATCCAGGTCAACCCAAATTACTTCCCATTTTCTTATTTGCATACTGGCACTCAACCTAATTTGAAATTTATATTGGTTAATATGAAATTGAATCTTGTCCAGTTGGATTCAGATTGCTTTTTGTGACTAGTTTTTTCTTGAACTCAATTGTACTTTTCATGCCTTAAGCATCTTATTTTATCCAATCTCCAGTAGATGCAAAACATTGACACGTTCGCACCTATATTTTTTGTAGTTTAGGGCACACTGATTTTAATATTTTTATTTTTCCCACTTCAGCTTTTTTGTTTGAGGAATTCAAATCAATTTGTCTTTGTCTTCTGATATATGTCTCTCATCCTCCTTTACATTAACTGAATTTTCAGACATTTATTTTTAACTCTTTCCATATTTTAGGAAAGCTTGGACAAGGAGATTCTGTTCGATTAATTGACCTCCCTTTTTTGTTGCAAATGCATTTACTTTTCCATGACAACTTATTAAGATCAGTTGATTTTCGGCACTGATATTCCTGAAAACTTAAGGGCGTGCTTTTACCTTCATGAAAAGTTTGTGGCACTGTTGAGGCCCTTGACGGTGTACTCATACCTTCATTTTTTTTTTGGTCTAATCAAAGGTTTTGATTGGTTTTGCAGATGTGCAAGTTTCTGATAGTTCCATTCCCCTTTCTCCTCAATGGCTTCTGCCTAAGCCGGGGGATAACAGGCTTGGGCTAGCAGCTAGGGTAAGTTAATGGGGCATTTACATCATACTACTCAATTACTATGTATTGACATATCTAACAACTAAACTTTTATTTTTACGTTTATAACAGCCAAATCTTTTCTATCACATCAATTATACCACTATTTTAATTTTTTAAAACTGAAATACATCTTTTGAAGCAAAGTTAAGGTGGCATGTATCTAAAAATTAAAGATTAGGTTTTAGTTATGTAAATGTATAGTAATTGAGTGGTATGTATGTAAATCTTCCTAAGTTAATTTAGCAGTACAGTGTCAATCTTTGTTTGGAGATACATGTTTACATGCACAAGTCGTACTTTTTTCTACTATGCTTAGTAGTTCGGCTTTGTGTTTCTGATTCAGAGAACTTTTGTTGCAGGAGACTCATCCTCACCTAGGCAAGAACACTGATCCTCCAAAAGCTTTGGGAAATGTTGAAGACCATCTTACTTCAGAAAAGAGAAAAGATGTTTACAGGCCTTCCTTTCATGACACAGAAAGAGGACGTCGTGACCGCTGGGGTGACGAAGAAAGAGAAGCAAACTCTGTTATTCGCCGAGATTTTCAGAGGGAGGGAGAGGAGCTCGGCGATTCAAGAAAATCAGATCGGTGGTCAAACACTGCCTCTAAATATTCCGGAGAAGCACGCCGTTTTGATAGGTGGGCTGATTCAATGAGCAGGGAAAGTGCTTATGAGCCACGTCGAGAGAGTAAATGGAATACACGTTGGGGTCCTGATGACAAAGAGTCGGAGAGAAGGCATGAGAAGTGGTCTGTGAAGGATGTTGAGTCATCTCATGATAAAGGGGCTTATCATCCACCCATCCATGCAAAGGACATGAACAATCAAGGCAAAGATACTGACAAGGAAGGAGAGCACCACCGTTTATGGAGAACTTCTGTTGTAAATCGTGGTAAGGGGGAAACTAACCCCTACCTTCCATCAACTAAACCGGTCCCAATGTTTGGCCATGGTAGAGGGAAGGGGGACAATGGTGGCTTGAGTGCTAGCAATGTGAGCGGCGATTCTGCACGTCACTTTCCTTTAGGTACTGCATCAGATAGCTCCAATGGTGGTCATATAGATCATCATATTCTAAGATATAGCAGGATGAAGTTGCTCGACATTTGCCGGATGACTGATCTAAAAGGCTATAGGATGTCGCATGAGTGGTTTCGAGAATTTCCCTCGTTGATGCAAGCGGACCCTCTGATGCCGCTGTCGCTTACTGCTCCTACGGCCGAAGAATTGGTATTTGTTTGCTTGATTATTATTGGAAGGGGACTTCTGTTATATGTTGAAATTTGATGTTCATTGCTGTAATTAATTTCAAATGGAATTAAAGTTAGCATTTTTTTAATATTTGCTGTGTAGTTTATGTTGGAGGCAATAGACAAGGGGGACATTTTGAGTAGTGGTGTTCCTCTGGCTTCAAAAGAAGGCCTCGGCAGGAAGAATTCTGTAGATTCGGCGTCATTACTATCGGCTAAACCAGGTTTTTTTAATTATTTGTTTTATTATTATTTTTTTTTTATGGTGTTTGTGTTCCAAAACGCCTGTCTGAGATCTATGGATGGCTTAACAGGGATCGAAGAAGATGCAGCCCCTGCTTTGAGTGATCATAGAGACGAGATAACTGGTCATCGGACCAAAGATCAATCTTGTTATGCAGAGAGTGCTTTGTATAACAATTGTTTGCTAGGGTTTGATTTAAAGCCCCCGTCCGGTGAAAGCTTTTGTCAATCTAAAGATGTCTCAACTGCTGAAGGTAATTTCCTGGTATTTATGTAAATAAATATTTTGAGCAAAAATTGGAATATTCTAAATAGCATCGACCATAATATGTCATTTGATTATCAAGATAACTTTGAGGAATGAATACTACAGTTACCATTCAGCAACATTAATAAATCTGCTGCCCTTGGCTTTTTTCATCTGTTATGTAGTTTTTGCTGATAACACCACATGATCGTGAGAAATGACATTCAATTCATATTCACACTTTCCCCCTTATTTGGTAGATCTTGGCGCTTACTTTTTGGATATTTTTTTTGCAGCATTTAAGTTTGAAATCCCACCTAACAAGGCATTTGATCCAACTAAGAGAGAAGCGAGCAAGGCGGAAAACACGATTCCATGCATATCTCACCCATTTGGAGTTGGGGCCCTTCGGCCATCTAATTATTTGCACTCTTTGACCGAAGATCGATCAGGACCAGCTGACATGGACCGTCTAAATACACGGAAAGAGATGTTGATTGAGCCGAGTAATAGGTGTGTTGATTCCTCCTCTTCTCTCAGAGGTGATTCACAATCAGATGTGAGGGCTGAGTCTTGGATTAGAAGGCAACCATCCGAGACAATTGAGGGGGAAGGTTTCACTCATCTTCATTCTCAGGGCAATCCTTTTATTCTCAGGGATAAGTTAGCTGATAGAAAACTCCATCAATTTCCATCTCCTGAACTCCTAAGTTTATTTTATAAGGATCCACAGGGTCAAGTTCAAGGGCCTTTTTCTGGCACTAATCTAATTGAATGGTTTGATGCTGGATATTTTGGTATCGACTTACAGGTCCGCCTTGCCAATGCGCCAGCAGATACTCCCTTCTCATTGCTTGGTGATGTTATACCGCAGTTGCGAACTAGAGTTAGACCTCCACCTGGATTTGGCTCAGCAAGGCCGAACGACATTGTGGAAGTGTCAAATAAGGGTAAATTTGGCGGTCCTAGTGGCATTCATGCAGGCATAGCAGATTTTGAGCTAATGAAAAATGGTGGAGTTCTCAGAAACGAATCTAAAGTTAGAGCAGAAAATCAATTTCTGGAATCTCTGATGTCTGCTAGAATCAGCAGTTCAGTGCCAGATAATTACACCTTGTCTGAAGGTTTGTTTGTGTATGACTGTTATTTCTATTTCAGCTTTTGTGATTCTCTGAATTGTAAATATTTTTTGCAGCTATGCAAAAATACAATGGACTCGCTGGTGGTAGACCGTCATTGGGAATAGAAAATATGAACGATATTATGCACTTGCCCCAGAAAATGCCATTGGAGCAGCCAAGTCCTTTACCATCTCCCTATAGACCGGGTAGAGAATCCCCAGCCATCTTATCGAAGCCCGATGCTATTGGAGAGTTTCCAATCCCTCCAAAAATTTTACCTCAATTAGGAGAAGTTCCTCACCATATCCCTCAGTCTCTCCAACATGTGGACCTATTGTCTATTTTCCAATCTGTGGCTGACAAAACTCCTCCACCTGCCATTAATTCTGCTTCATCTCAATGGCCGAGCTTCCCAGAGGTTCAAGCTCTGAGAAGTACGCATGCGAGCATAGATATTACGAAAGATTCATTTGATCCTAATCAGCAGAACTCCCAAAGTGTCTTTGGCTCTTTACCAAATAGGTTGCAACCTCAATTTCCACCTCCTTTATCAAATCAAAATCCGGTTGCAAGTCATCCCGCTTCTGAATTTAGTCAAGATGCACAGATGGCTCATATGGTGCGACAGCAGTATATGTTATTGGCCCAGCAGATGCATTCCCAAGTTCCTCTTAATCAAATGGAGCTATTGTTACTCATGCAGCGGCAACAACAGGAGCAACTTCAGAATCAGCTGCTCATGCAACAGCAACAACAGCATTTTCTTTCTCATCCCCAATCTGTATATAACTCGTATAAGAATAATAATGAACCAACTCTTAGTCCTCCAAGCACTGAAGTTTTTCATGAAAATGCGTCTTTGAAAAGTTCCTCTGTTCAGTTGCCTGAAGTGGCAGCTTGTGGTAGTCGTCCGATGCATGTCCTTGATTCTAATCATAGTCATGCACATAAAACTTTTGTTCAGGGGGAGGGTACTGCTGATATTATTGAGCATTCGCTCCTAAATTTGCCAAATCAATTTATTAACATGGTACCTCATTCAAATAAAATGGATCCTTCTCCACTGGATATAGGATCCACTAAAACTGCTAATATCGTGTCAGCTGTGGAGGGTCGTGCACTGGAGACTTCTGTTCCGCAGCTCCATTCCATGGATGCGGCCATATCTGAAGTATCAGACAAATTGGCTCAAATAAATGAAGTTTCTGATACTTCATTACCTGAAAAAGGAGAAAGAATTCTGGACTCAAAGTTATCTGTTTCAGAGATGATTGATGAAGTGAAAATTTCTCCTGGCTCCATTTCTGAGCTGATTGATGGCATGGAAATTTCTCCTGGTGCCATTTCTGACCAATTCCGTGGTGAAGCACCTGAACTTAAAGGAGTGGAAGATGCACAACAATGTGAGGTTAAGAAAATCTCAGAGAAGAAGTCAAGAAAGCACAAGAACTCACACCTAAGGGCAGCTGCGGAGTGCAGTAAGGGGTCAGTGAAAGCTGCATTTGGTCAGAAGTCTAAAACTAATTCCGAAATTGGGGGAGTGGAAAAGGGCCTAGGCATGGATGCAGCAGAACCTCTTCATAAAACAACACTTGAAGCAGGAGGCGAAGGCTGTGCTTCATCTCTAATAGAGTCGTTGGAATCTCATGTTGGTCTTTCACAATCAGGTGCCTTAGATATGAAAACTGAAGAAGACGAAACAAAAGTCAAGGATGGTGACCTTGTGTCGCCATCTTCGAAGAATCAGGCATGGAAGCCTGTTCCTGGACAAAAAAGGACAAAGCCGCTTTCAGAGATTCAAGTGGAGGAACAACGTAGGGCTCAAATACATTCATTCGGTGCAGATAATATTGCCGAGATTGTACCCACAAATGTTTCTCCTGCTCCCTTGGCTGATAGTTTGATCATTTCAGATCTGAAAAATACTGTAGATGCTGCCCCCTGTGATAATCTGGGACAATCTATATTTGAGAATCGCCAGAATCCTTGGAACTTGAGAAATATAAGCCAATTACCTGATGTTCTGAATAAAGAGGCTTTACCTAAAGTGTCAGTAGAGGAAAAGGGCACATCTTCACATCCCCTACCTGAAATTAAGGCATCCGTGGATAATGATGATTTTATTGAGGCAAAAGAGACCAGAAAAAGTCGAAAAAAAGCAATGAAGAATAAAGGCGTTGCTGTGAAGGCTTCATTGCCAAACAATTCAGCAGTTGTCTCTGATTCTACGATTACCACTGAACAGACCAAAGCTGCTCGTCAAATACAGCAAGATAAAGATTTGCTGCCTAGTCCACCCTCTGCACCATCCTTGGGAGATTTTCTTTTTTGGAAAGGAGATCAAGCAAGTACAGTCCCTTCTCCTGCTTGGTCCACAGATTCAATAAAGCTTCAGAAGCCCTCGGTTTTAAGAGACATTTTTAAGGAACAAGACAAGAAAAAAATAAAACCAGGGAAACAACAAACTTCGATTCCAACACCGACCAAGGTTCAACCCAGTATGGGGACTGTTGGAAGCAGTTCTTCTGCATCGCTTCCTGACCCTTCTCCATCCAAAGCTTCGGCTCCGATCAATTCTAACCCCACTGCTCCTACACAGACAAGTTCCCTTGGTTCAGGACAGCACAAAACTGGAATGGAAGATGATTTCTTCTGGGGCAACCTCAACGAAAGCAAAGACGTAAGCAGGTATTGCAATCCTGCATATTTCAAACTTTCTCAGCTTTACCACATTCCGGTACATATCATTACTTATACTGTTGACTTCAGCTCTTTTTGCTTTTTTTTTTCACGATAATACTTTTAATATGAAACAATATGGATACCCTCTTATGGTTTTCTAACTTTTGTAATTCGGTCTTTTACCAGTCTGTTCTAGGGGCGTAGATGAGCCAATTTTGAGCAAGCCACCCACTGTTTGTTTTTGTTTAGCTCGTTCAAAATTTTTTTGCTCAAAATATGCTTGCTTTTGAAATGACTAGTGAATATCAAGTTTGTGTTCGGCTCAATTTGAATTTATTTGTTCATTTGAGCTCATTTTTTACTTGAAATTAGCTCAATTTTTTTTAAAACAATAAAAGTTAATGTTTTTTTTATATGCAACATAAAAATTTAATATAAGAATATTATTTATTTAATTATTTAATTAATTTAATCCAAAATGAGTTGAAAACGATTGAACAAAAGTTTTTGTGAGTTCAGCTCATTTATTAATTGAGCCCAAAAAAATTGTTAGTGTTTGACTAGCCTGCCTAACGAACAAATCAAACATGAGCTATTTAACTAGCTAAACTCGAGCTGCCCGTGATTGAGTTTTTTTTAATGTCCCAGTCTCTTCAGACAAATGTTACGTTTTTGAAGTCATCATCATATAGCTAATTTCGTCAAATGATTGAATACCATAATAATGAAATGGGAATCACTACAAATGTCGCCATTGATTCATCAGTATTGTTTACTCCACAATCAGGTCTGATTTTCCATCACTTGCTAACAACCCAAGCAGTCAGAATGTGAAAGGAACCCCTGTCAAAGGTGTTCAGGGCGAAGGATCAAGTAAGAAAGCGTCAAGCAGCAAGCCTGTTGAGCATTCTATTACTTCTTTGCCAGCCATCAGCAAATCTTTTTCTAAAGGGAAGAAAAATACTGAATCGAAATATTCAGGTAAGTCCGGCTTCAGCATGCTTCATCATCTACCTTCTTCTGGTGCTGATCTATAATTATTAACTTGTTACAGAGGCCATGGATTTTCGAAACTGGTGCGAAGGGGAGTGGTTTAGACTTACCGGCACAAATGGTATTTCATTCTTACTACAATCATAAAAAATTGTTTTATTTTCATGGATTTTTTACAATCATGAATTAAATAACATTTAATGATAGACCACTCTTTAGAAATCCTCGGTGTGCCATTCTATCATTTCAATCCTTACTAATGCACCAATTTAAGAAGTTATGTTAATTTCAAGTATTTTATTTACCATTACAGTCTTGAATACTATCACATTTGTTGATTTACCAGAACATTATTTATAAATTACTGGTATATTTATTTATTTTTGAAAGCTTTACTAGAAAATCAGTTTAACAAGTTGATCTTAGGGTCTGTTTGAGGCAGGTGCAATTGTTTGAAGAAGCAGTTGCGAAGTTGTTGCAGAAGAAATTGTTTTTCAAAAAGCTACGGTGGCTATTGCAAATTTGTTTTATTTTCAAAAAAATCATACCATAGCTTTCTGACAGTCACCATACGTTAATAGCTCAGGTTGAAAAAACTATCATTTCTAAAAAATAGAAAGAAAACAATTCTGCAAACAAAACTGTAGTGGTGGTATTAAAAGCAAAACAATGTAGAAAGCTGTCCCAAACAGACTCGTAATCTATTTACTTAATCGAATAATCTTTTTAATATTTTAAGGAAATAATAAAACTATGTGATAAACATTAAAAAAAATGTCTACTTTGATTAAAAGCTAAATTAATCTTCAAGGATGGAACGTGCTAGATATGTAAGTACATAAGAACTGTTTGGTATAAGTACATAAGAATTGTGTGGTCTCAGGGGCGGACTCACGGGCGGGCAAATAGGCTTTTGCCCCCACTGAAATATAGGTTTGTCCCTTCGGCTCTTTGATGCCCTGGCCCTCTCACATTGCTTCCCATCTGCTTCTGATTTTGCACGCCATCCTTGTTCTTCCTCCCCATGCTGACTGCATCACCAGCGATCGAGTTCGCTCGATCGTAAACTTCTTGTTCGTGTGGCTTCCGATCCGATAGCTACCACAAATAAACTACTTGTGTTTCTTAAGTCGTCGCTTTTTCCTTATCAAATGCTGGCTCTTTGCTTCGCAGACCAAGTTCTTCCTAGCAGTAGACATTGCTATTATCGTTTCTGTTAAATTCTGTTAGTTGCTAGGATTCTGTTATTTTTAGATTTTATTTGAATGGCAAATA